CTGCTAGGTTTTTGGAGAGAAGTCGGCTGTAGAGGCTATTTTTTCTGTGTCTTTAAGTGCCTCAATGTTGAACTTTTTGGTGCACTGCTTCTGTTGTCTCTGCTGCGACAGGGCTATATTTATGTTAATCCTGGCTTGGATAAGGCGATGGGCTGTCCTGCAGTTGTCGGCTCCTCTCATGGTGTGTGTGATTTTAACGTTTTTCTAATTCCTCACTCTGATGATGGCATAGTCCAGGAGGTGCCAATGTCTGCAGCGCGGGTGCTGCCATGTTCTCTTGTATTTGTTCCTTTGGCAGAACAGTGTGGTGGTGACGAGGAGGTTGTGCTCAGGAGAAGGGTGCCATTGGAGTTTTGCTTATCAACTCCCTCTTTCCCAGTTACATCGCTCCAAAGATCTGCTCTTTTGCCATCTCTGGCGTTGAAGTTGCTGAAGTCAACAAGTCTGTCCACTGCAGGGACTCGAGAGAGTGATTGGTCAAGGCTGGAGTAGAATATCTCCTTGTCCTCAGCTGCTGTTTTGAGTGTTAGTGCATGTGCACTGTGACATACTGGTTCCAAGCAAGGGTGAGACATTCACTTATTCCGCAGGGGGAGTCTTTAAGTTAGTTCGCCCGATTGTTTTTGATGGCAAAGCCGACTGCCTGGATGCAGCGCTCTTCTTTGGCCTTGCCTTTCCAGAAAAAGGTGGAGCCACTGCCTTGCTCTCTGAGCTGTCCTTCCACTGCCTGCTGGGTTTCTCTCGGGGCAGCGATGTCAATATTGTAGCGCCTGAGTTCCTGAACAATGATGGTAGTGTGGTGTTCTGGTCTCTAACTGGAGGGATTGTCCATAAAGGTTCTGACGTCCAGGTGCCGAACTTCATCCTGGAAGATGCCTGTACGAGAGTTCTTTTAACATGGGGAAACCGTTGCACACCAGTTACCACGCGGACTTGGCAGTGCAAGGTCTTGTTCCAGTGGGGGGGGGGGGTGGGGGGGGGGGGGGTGTCCTAAACAACTGGAGACTAGGCACTTCTGTTTTGCCTTACACTGCCTGCAGTGGAGTGCAGGCGAATGATTTGGCGCTGGGTAGCGCCTCATGCTGGGTTAGTGTGAGGTCCAAGGTGAGGAGAGTGGGAGGAAGGGGAGAGAATGAGAAGGTCAGTGCAGTTTGTTGCCATTGTGCTGGTCATTCTCAATCTGTGATCGTGAAATCACAGGTGGTGAGTGTAAGATCACTGGGGTGGGGGGGTTGTAAAAATCACTGGACTGGGATTTGTTGACATTAATATTAAAAAAATGAAACTGTGTTCGAGTTTTATAAAATCACTGATCTGGTGGGTAGGTAGTTTATAAAATTACTGGGCTGGTAGGGCTTTATATAAGCACTGGGCCGGGAGGGAGTTATAAAATTATTGGGCTGGGGACATTTATGAAAAAACAAACTGCCTGGGGATTTTTTATGCAACACTGGACTCTCAGGTTTTGTTAATTAGAAAAAAAGATCACTGGGCTGGGGAGGGTGTTATAAAATTACGGAGCTGGGGTGTGTTATAAAGATTACTGGGGGATTTAAAAAAAAACTGGCTGGGACGTTACAAAAATTACTGAAGGTTATATAAACACTGGGCTTGGGGCTGGTGGTTATAAAACTTACATGCCTGGAGTGTATAAAATTATTGGGGTTATATAAACACTGGGCTTGGGGGGTTATAGAAGCACTGGGCTGCAGGGTTTGTTATAAAATTACTGGGCTGGGCGTTCATACAAACACGGGGCTGCAGAGGTTGTAAAATTATTGGGGGGGTATATAATCATTGGACTGGGAGGTTGTTTTAAAAAATTATTGGGGTTATATAAACACTGGGCTGGGGTTTTATAAACATTATTGAGGTTTATTAAAAAAGTATTGGGTAATTAAAAATTACCGGGTGTTATATGAACACTGTGCTGGGGTGAGGGGGGGTGTGTTATGAAAAATCTCGTTACGGCAGCCACTGGAGCTCGAGCTCCGATAGACTGCGCTGGGGGGCAAGGGAGCTGGGGGCGATGGGGATTGGGGCCCTGGGGTAAGGGGTAAGGGGGTGGGGGCCATGGGCTGGGCTGTAGGCTGTGTAGCCAACGCTAGGCCCCGCTCCCTGCGCCTGAAGACCCAGTTCGGAGGCAGCCAGGAGCCGTGCTTGGGTCTTGGTTCCTGGAGCTGTGTGAGCAGGAGAGACCGAGTGAGGTATGAGAAGGTAAGGAGAGGCGAGGGAAAGAGGGCAGGGAGGTGGTTGTGTGCTCAGGTAATTTTTGCACCAGGTCACCGCCGCCATCTTGATCCTGGGTCAGTCAGGTGTCATGGTGAGAAATGTGCTGGGACCTCAACTTCTCACAATTTATGTCAAGGACTTGGATGGAGGGACAGAAGGTGAGGTGACTATATCTGTGACTACATCTGAGGTGACCATTTCTGAAGAAGGGTCTAGGCCCAAAACGTCAGTCTTCCTGCTCCTCTGATGCTGCTTGGCCTGCTGTGTTCGTCCAGCTCTACACCTTGTTCTCTCTGACTACATCTGCTGATGAGTTAAAAATGGGTAAGGAATAAAGCTGTGAATTGGACATAACAAAGGAAGAAAGGGATAAGGGAAGATTAATGAATGCACAAAGACACGTAAATAGTGTGTGGTTGGGAAAACCTGAAATCGTCCCATTTTGGCAGAAAGTAAATACGGAAGAAGCACATTACGTAGATGGTGAGAGATTGCAGAGCTGTGAGATGCAGAAGGATCTCAGCGTCCTGGCGGATAAAGCAAAAAATATTGCTTTGCCTGTACAACAAGTAAATAGGAAGAGAACGGAATGTTCCTGTTCATTATGAAGGAAATTGAACACAAATGTCAGGAAAAAAACCAAAAATTATTGGAGAAGCTAAGCAGATCTGGCAGTATCTGTGGAGAGAGAAACAGAGCTAAAGTGTTGAGTCCATTCTGACTCTCGTTCTGTTCTTCAGAACTCCATTTCCCTCAATTCTATTTCTCTGTCCATAGCTGCTGACAAACCTGTTGAGTTTCTCCAGAACTTTCTATTTGCTGTTTTATAACCAGCCTGCTCTCCATTCTGCTCCTTGACCCCTGCCTCCACATGTATTTGAATCATTTCAGTAAAGAGCTTGTTAATCCTCATGGACCCAGCTCCCATGTATTAGCGCAGTCAATAATGCCCCACACAGAGAGATCTACAAACCATCACCTCGTCCCGAACTGATCACTTTTATCTTCTTTTCACCGCTTTCTTTGGAATCTGAAAATAAAATGGGTTTAGAAACAACAGTAAATTAAAACAGAAATATACATAGCTTGAGTCCCTGAGTGACTCATTTTTTTTTCTGGACTAGAAAGAAGAGAATTTCAGTTCCCCTATCCCAGGATGGCCTCTATGTCCCATTATCAGAATAATTTTAACTCTGTTCCTCCTGTTGTAATGATATTTAAATCTGAAATTGTGATGTGTTGTTGAATAATGGTGATAAATACCTTTAGTATCAGGCTCACTCTTATTCTCCGCTGAGTCTGAAACAGAGGGAACAGGATATCAGTTTCCAGACCCCACACGTTCTGATAGCTGAATGGTTTTCAATGATACCCACCCCTCCCTCACTGCAAACACTCCCCACTCTCAGCACTTGGGCAGAGGACAGCTCCAGATCTGAATTGATGCTGAATTTCATACCACTACTTAGTGAACATAAGAACATAAGAACGTAACAAATAGGAGCAGGAGTAGGCCATCTGGTCCATCAAGCCTGCTCCATCATTCAGTAAGAACATGACTGATCTTATCATGGACTCAGCTCCACTTACCCACTTGCTCACCATAACCCTTAATTCCTTCACTTTTCAAAAATCTATCTTTGACTTAAAAACATTTAACAAGGTAGTCTTAACTACTTCACTGGTCAGGGAATTCATCAGATTCACAACCCTTTCGGTGACGCAGTTTCTGCTCCATTCAGTCCTAAATCTGGTCATCCTTTATTGTGAGGCTATGTCCTCCAGTTCTAGTTTCACCTGCCAGTGGAAACAATGTCTCTGCTTCTATATTGTCTATTACCTTCATAATATTATATGCTTCTATAAGATCTCCCTCATTCTTCCCAATTCCAATGAGTATAGTCAATGTATCCTCATAAGCCAACCCTCTCAACTTCAGAATGAACGCAGTGAACCTCCTCTACATTCCGTCCAGTGCCAATACATTCTTTAGCAAGTAAAGAGATCAAAACTATACACTGTACTCCAGGTGTGGCCTCACCCTCACCCCATAGAGCTGCAGCATAACCTCCCTGTTTTTAAACTCCATCCGTCTAACTCTTTTATTCCAAAATTAATGGAGACTAAAAGCAAGAACTTAGAGGATAGTATCTTAACATCTGTCAGAGGGAAGTTGCTGGAAGTCACTCTTTAAAACGTGAAATCAGGACACTTGGAAAAGGCCTGGATAATCCCAGCACTGTGACTGCACACATGGAGGGTATCCAGCCCATTGTGTCTGCACACCCCTCCAAATGACCGTCATGGCTTTGAGTCCTTCTGCCTTTTCTCCATTGCCTTACACATTCTTGTCAGTTGAAATAGTCATGCTTTAGGGAGAGTCAAGAAAGTCTTGAGACAAAGACATGATGTTTAACAAATTAATTGGACTGTATTGAGGGAGTACCATGAGCTGTGGGTAATGGGGAAGCGCTGGATGTGCTGTTACCGGGATTGCAGAGGGATGTGATAAGATGCAATATCAGAGGTCATTGTGGAAAATAAGTGCCAATCATGGGAGTGACACGGCAGCTCAGTGGTTCGCACTGCTGCCTCAGAACACCATGGATCTGGGTTCGGTTCTGGCTTTGAGTGACTGTCTGTGTGGAGTTTGCATGTTCTCCCCACGTCTGCATGGGTGTTCTGGTTTCCTCCAACAGTCCGAGTGCTGCATGACTCTATGACTCTGTGTAGGGTAGGAAGATTAGCCATAAGAAAAATGGGGATAGAGTGGCATGTTCTTCAGAGGGTTGCTGCAGACGCAATGGGCCAAATGGCCTCTTTCTGCACACTATGGGTTTTATGATCCTAAGTAGGAGGTAACATACTGGGATGGGTTAATGATTGACTAACAAAAAGGAAATAGAGGGCCATCACAAATGTGTCATTTTGGGTTGTAAGGATGTAATGATGTGTGGTGTGCCACAGGGATCAGTGCTGGAATCTCAAATTTTCACAACTTATGGATGGTGGGACCGAAGATATGTTGACTAAATTTGC